TGTTGAGCCAAATTAGAGCAGCAAAATCACAATTCCAACTTAGAAATCTCAAGGAAACAATGCAATTTCGTTAATGACCAACCAATCACACTAAAGTTATCATTAAAATGAAACCCAAACAGCAAAACGAAATGGAATTATAACACATAAAACATAACAGCAAACGAAAATGAAACGTAAATGCAAAGCTTGAAACGAAATTGAAAACACAATTGAAAGTAAGGAACGAAAAATAGAAACTCAATTGGAATTAAAAAACATAAACGAGATTCAATACAAGAAAGCAAACCTAACCCCCCCACAAAGGGGGGAGGGGGGTTGGAAAACGAACCAAAGCTCCAAAACCTAAAGGAGAAAACGAAAATGAGGGAAAGAGCTTCCCAAATATGATTTGGGGGTTTTTAAAAGGACAAAAGACGAAAATGCCCTCTATATGGGCTTCTTACAAAATATTGACAAAAAATAGGCCCAAAAGTCAAATCTGGTCAAAACTAAAATAATTAAAATTACAAAACGAAATTAGATGATGTGGCAACCCTCTTAAAGTCCCAAAATATGTTTCCACAATTGTCCTACAAATAATAATTGAAATAATTAGGCTCAAATAATTCAAATTAATTTAAATAAGAATTATTAGTCAAATTAAGTCCAAATAGTGTAAATGAGACAATAATGGAGAATTAAACACAATTCAGTGCGAAAAACTAAGTGAATAGTGCAAAATAGTGATTCATCAACCTTACCATTAAGGCTATGTCCAATCTTTTAAGGAACATACTTAAGATATTCCACTAATGAACATATTTAACTAGTAACGAGTATCACCCTCTCCAAGTTATAATGAGTTACAAACTCTCTAGGTATCACAAGTATAATCCTTTTCAGGCTATGCCGAGTATCAACCAAATAGTTCGATCAATCCAATAATTTGATCTAAAGTCAGATGCATTATTTCCTAATGTTCATATGACTTGATTGATTGATTTTGAAAACTTTCTTGATTGTCAAAAGGTAATTCTTTGAACATTGTAGCTCATTTTAATTATGTTCTTATAGAGCCACCTTGTTGTGATTAGAACTGACTATCAAATCTAGAAGATTTTGTAGAAACTAGACTTAGTGGGAAGAATGTCGTCATGGGCAATGGAGTTATTAAAGTTTTCTATTAGGTATGAAACAAAGAGGTACTCTATAAAAAATTCAACTGCTCAAAATTATTCAACTTTCGCTCTCCAAAGTTTTTGTCCTCTTTCTTGTTAGTACTCGTCTTTTGTAAGGTGAATGGAGTTATGCATGCAGAAGACACCCTGACGCTCAATTCAGTCTTAAACATGAATAGAGTATTAAAGTAATTAATGAGAACATAAATTATTTACCTCGATGATTGTACTATTTATAATATGATTTATTACGTTTGTGGGCCTTTACTTGGACGAGCTTGGGCTTGGGGCCAATAGCCCATTTACCTTGTTTGAGTCAATGTTTGATCATATTCTTTTAAGTTACAAAGTAATCGGTACGTCATTGGTTCTAGTAGACCGATAGGTAACTAGACAGGCTGTTTAGTGGTAGTCACCATGCAAGATGGACCTGTTTGGGTGCAGTCACTTAGGACGCATTCAGTTGTGTTTTATCTTATATCATCTTAGGACGAGACCAATGCTGATGTGCTTGAGGGGTACTCGGTCATATACATTACAAATTATTTTTTATTTCAAGTGATAAGATTTTTATATCAATTCAAATGATCAATTGGAGATTAAAGAAGGAAGACACTTAGCCAAATAATACAACATAATCAAACTCATCTAATAAGTAGAAAACTTATGCACTAAGTTCCACTAAGTATGCACTATTAGAGTTAAAGACATATAGTTTTCTAAAAGGGTTCAATAGATTAAGTTTTCACAAAACATTTTTCAATAAACAAAACTCATATAGATATAAATATAAAAGCATGACTTTGATGCCTAGTCAAACTAGTTAAATCATTGACTAAATTCTTATTAGGTTGATCATATCAAGAAGATATAATATTTATCATTAGGTTTTGGTAAAAATTCATAAATGATTCTAACAAATAGTCTAAGAACTAAGGCAGAGCAATTTTAGTACAAAGTTTTACACCATAAACATTTATTGTTTTGTTCAAACAAAAAAAAAGATCAAACTTTATATAATAATTTGTTACATTTTTATGACAACAATAAAATATCACAAAAATAATGAAAACTTTGGCCTAGTATTTTGTTCAACTCTTCAAGGTTTGCTCCCTTAAACTTTATCTTCATTGTTTCAGTAGCTCTCCCTTAACATGTATTCCATTTCTTTATCCTCTCTCCCATTTTTTAAGTAGCAAAAACAAAAAGGTGGACCATAATCAAACAACTTCTTTTATCTCTTCATCATTAAATGATATAACTAGCAGATTGAATGAAGTTGTTGTCATAATAAGCTTAAGTTTAAGGTTAAGCAAAAAAGTTGTTATGGCCTTCCATTTGAAAGTTTCCCTCAAAGTTTTAGCATACCCTTCAAGAGTGGGCTAAAGTAAGGCACTATCAACATCCACTTCAACTTTCATAAGTAAGTTCTCAAGAGAAAAAATGTTTGTCTTACAAAGTTAAAGGAACATGTGTGTTATCTTTGTAGGGATAAAGAGGAGTTCATTCAACATCTTTGTTTTAATATCAAATTTTTGTATATATTTGGTCTTAGTTGCAAAATATTTTTGAAGATTTGCAATGCATGTCTACAACTTATTTAATTATTTTCATTAACTCTCCAGAGAGTGCATCATTGAAACTCAACATACTATTTGTTGTAACACATACTATTTGAATAATTTGAAGGATGAAAAATTATGACAAATTTCAGCAAAGTGTTTCATTGCAAATTGTAGTGCATACTATTTTAGAGGATATATAAGGTTGATGGGTAATTCTTCTATGAGGCAAGAAAAATGATATACATGTTTTTTTTTTAAAAAATCTTTTGATATAACCACTAAACCCGAAAGAAATTTGTTTCATATACAAATCTTTTTGAAGTTTTCCATATGTTGGTTGGATTAAGGTGAATATTAATGGTGCAACTTGTGGAAGTCTTGGTTTGACGACTTGTGTTGTCTCTTTTAAAGATACTATGAATGAATATATTGATAATCTCTTTGCTATTTTACGAGTTATTTGCAATTTTGGGAGTGTAAAATTCTTTATATGTCAAAATTATGGAAACTATTCTTGTTATTGACCATTCTTAAAAGGTTGGCTTTAGACTTGGTTGGAAAATCATATTATATGTAAGGCTCTTTTTTATTTTCAATTTTTTTTGAATCTTTGAGAGGAGATGGATAAAAATGCTTGGAAATATGTAAAAAATAAAGTTTAAGGGTTTTCATATTTTCAAGGAAGGAAAATAATTTTGCAAATAAAATTTATAATTGAAAAATAAAATCCATTATGAATGATATGATATTATGCCATCTAGAATTGCTCTTAATTTGAATAATATTTCCTATATTTGGAGGTGTATAGGTTTTTTGAAAAAAGTTTACTATATATTTTTGTGCATGATTTTAGTTTAATCTTCCATGCTTTCCGTTATTATTTTTCTAATAGTATTTTTGTATGATGACAAGTAATGGATGTGCTTTAAAATGTCATATTACATAATGATGCTTAATATTATTTAAAAGAAAAGCGGAATTTATTATTTAAAAGAAAAGAGGGATTTATAGTGCACTTAGATAAAAGAAGCTTAAATAATGTTCATTCCACAAGACTTTGACACCACACAACTTGCATCATAATCAGTCAATTTATTAACCTTACCATGCTATACTTAACATTTTTCATTTCTTTTTTATTTTAAAAATTACTTTTAAGTTACAGTTCATGATAATACCTGCTGAGAAAAAGTTAAAACTGTTTGAAAATTTTCTAACTTAACATATATATTTAATTTAAAGTTTTTTAACTTAAAATTCTCTCAACTCATTAGCTTTTTGGATGGAGGGAGAAGAAAAAAATAACAATGCACGAGTTGCCAAAGCAGAGCCATTCCTTGACAATCAATGTACGAGCTGGGAGCTAATGTATCTAACACCATTATTGGATGTGATAAGTTACTATAGAATTGAAAAAGAGGAAACATACATGATTGAAATAGAATGTCATTCTGTTATTGACAGAATAATTAGGATCAAGATCCTCTACAGTTCAATTGTTACAGCAGACCAGTTCAATCATATGGTTATAGATTTTTGTGTATTAAAAAGTTTTACTATTATGATGGATGATATTATCTGTAGTTCAAATTTCAACGTCTAGTGATCCTGATCCAAATGGTTGAACTAACACAGTAGCATATAGAGCTCACAAAAATATTGAAGGTAGTTACTGAACCAGCTCAAAAAAATGTCAACCCGTTTATAGGGTCAGTTACATTGGCAAGAACACTGCTAACTCAACTTCCTATGCATCCAGTTGTTAGTACACGTGCTGCTGACACAGTCTCTATTAATAGAGATGGTGACGGTTCAGTGGTGGGGCTTATAAAGAAGTCACAGAATCTGACACCTTCTACTGTACAACTCAGACAGGAAGGAAAGTCTAATATACAATAATTGCATACTTCTTTTCTTCCAAAAAAGAAACAAAAAAAAAGGAGTTATTTTAGTGTTTTTCTCTTAAGCTACAAATAGTAACTTGAAAAAAAAAAACAGTTCTTAGGATATGTCTGAGTTGATATAAAGAATTGAGTGCAATCGAGATCAAACATTTTCCTTTTTATCTCATTCCATTCCTATCTTAGTAAATCAAACAGTGGACCAACTTTCTCATAATTCCATCTCCTCCACTACACCATCAATCCAAATATAGTCTTGAGAAAAATACTTTATCACAAAATCAATTTCATTTTTAGGTTTAAAGAAAAATGCGTCTGTCATGCAAAAACTACATGCATTTGCTTCAGCAAAAGGATAGATACCCTTGCCTTAATAATCCCGCAAAAGACATTGAAATTATAAAAAATGCAGTAACCATTCCTCTTTTGGCACAATCGCTTTCTCAGTGATACACAAAAGAAAAGCTTATTTTAAATATCTCAATGACAAAAAAAGCTTGACCCTCATATGTAAATCAAAGAAACTCATTACCTAACAAGTTTGAGACAAGGTTACCAATATTTGTACATGCATTGTCCTCACTCCGGAACTTTTACTTCCCTTAGAACCTTTGCAGCATCCTCGGGGAACACAGGATTTATGTAACACCCAGTTCCAAGCTCAAAACCCGCAATTCCAATTAGCTGAGGTACTATCTGTATAAACCAATGAGTGTATGCTAATTCTGACCCGTTACTATGAAGTGGACTAGTGTGAATCATATAGTTGAATGGTGGATTGTTCAACTGCAAAGACATCTTCCTGAGCATTAGTTTCAACAAACCTCCCAGTTCAACTGCCTGCAAAACAAATGTTAGAAGTAATTATCGACCTTTGGAACAAGAAACACGAATAAAGGAGATATTCGTACGTGTGTATATCACAATTTGCAGTAATACAAAGGTGGATCTGTGCTATGTTATGCTAACCATATAGTATTGTGAATTCCACAATGGATACTAATATTTTAAGTAATATGTGTGCTTTTTCAAAGATACTGAATATGGATTACATCACAATAGATCCTCAGAGTTATAATTCCCATTAGGTCGTAAGCATTACTTATTGAGCACTATCCACTACACATCCCTCACAATCCACTTGCTAATTCTTGCCCTGTTCTAAGTTCATCTGCAGAAGCATCACCAGCGTCTTATGCAGAATGCAGCATTTTCTTACAGCTCTAATCAGATATTCAATATAACAGACTGCCTGTCAAATTCAAAACTTTCCTCTTTGAACCTTTTACTTTTGCACATCAGAAACATGAAGAGCTTCCAAGCCAGTAGTTCGTTGTTATTCCCAATATTTGTATTGTTTCTCACTCCAAACACTCCATGTTTTTCAGATTCAGCTTGTGTCACTGTGAGAAGAAATAGATTGGGCTGAAAGATGTTCTATTTAGACAGGTCTGGTCTTTTTGAAAATTTTGAAGTGTAAGTCAGGCCTGTTACCTGTTATAGGTTTTTCTAGGCTTGGCTTGATATTTTTAAGAGTTTGACTTAGCCTACTTAAAGACCTATTTAGTTTTTATATATGTATGACTTACCCTTAACTATGTTAATTGACTAATAGTCATGGGAAGAATAAAATTATATTTAAAACAAACTACTAAACAAAATTTAAACCACAACAACTCGATGCACGAGGCACAGTAGAAATAGAATAATCTGACATTATAAGGCTCGTGTTTAACTTTATTTACATGATAAAAACTTATTTTTAAGGTTTCATATCATGATAACTTATTTAAAAGTTTATCTTGCAAGATTTCAAAATAAGATAATGGCTATTGGTACAACTAAAAGTTTAACACTATTTCAGATCTATTTGTTCAGACAGTATGTTTCTGTCACATGCAATCAGCCCATAATAGGAATGAGTGTCAAATCTCAGAAAATAACTAAAATTTAAGCCTTTAATTCATGCCACACATCAGGTGCATTATATTGAGATCAAACTAAATATTTGGCATCCAAGAAGCAGGAAGATTTAGCAAATAAACCACTGTTACCTTTTCCGCATCCAATTCATGGAAGTGAGCAGAGTGGTACCGAGGAACAATCCATATCTCAAAAGGAAATGTTGCAGCAAAAGGAACCAGTGAAAAGAAGTTGGTAGATGAATCAATCAAAAGATCTTCACGTTGAATTTTACAAATAAAACATTTCCCTGTCTGATCAAAATGATCTTTCATACTTGCAAGGCGGGCAGATACACTTGGTGGAATAATTGGCAGGGCCATCATCTGACTGTGAGAATGACTCATTGATGCACCAGCTGAAGCACCATGGTTTTTGAACACCTTCAAAGATTAAGAAAAACAAGTTTAAGAAAAATTGCAAGAAAAAAAAAACAGTAAACTATTTATGCAGACAAGTGAAAAACTTTATCAGTTTCAATTATTAATGTCAAGGTAGAAAATAATGGAAATCCAGGCATGAAGACAACATCTACCATTTAATTATCAGTGACAACATCAACCAAAAAAGTAAATAGTTATATTGTTAATGATGCAAATTAGGCATGCAACTATTGCTTATGGCTTAATTGCTCTGATTTCCCAAAGTAAAATCAACAATTATACTGTCTAGAAGTCATAGTACACAATTGCACACTGCAAGAAACCTAAAACATATTTATCTAAGAGCAAATAAATCCAAGATCCACAAACACTATTCCCCGATTTCACCTAAGATTTTATACTTTGATATATCAACACATATAACATATGCTGCATAAAAAACATATATTGGAAACTTTTACATCTAAAATTCCTGCCTCAGCTCTTCTGGAACAAGCAAGATTAAAAAACGATAAAAAAATATCAAAAGACGGAAAAATAAAGCAACTTCATGCATTACACAGTCAAAATATCAATCCCCATAAGAACACAACCAACAAAGTCATCAAAGATAAAAGGGCTTCATCCCCACACACCCCTTTTAAGCAAAAAAGAACACCTTGGTGCCAATGCGGTGTCAAAAAATACATAGTAATGCTAAAATCTAAAGCATAAGGATTAATTAGCAGAAATAACACATATTCAGGGATCACAGACGTTATGAACTAATTCAATGTCAACGAGCACATAATTTCACATTGTATTCATATTATTCTGAGTATTTAAAGTCTGCAAAGAGAAAACAAATTTTATTGATACACTTAAATCATAATTTACACCATTTTGAAACTAATACGAACTTCTACCCATAGAGTGAATAGTGAAGTTAGTTCCTCAAAAATATAGTGTGGGTAAATTTCTAAAAAACATTCAGCAACGGCCAACTCAGTTTTGGACCTTCTACAACTTCATCGTAACCACAATTGTGGCCCTGTCAGCTGCATTTGTACCTAGTTGAAGTGAGTGATATTTATGCCTAAGGTCCTTAAATGAGTAATTATTTATTCCAATTAGGACCTCTTCTGAATAACTTTACAATAAACATTTCAGAGAGGTAAACAATAACAAAAAAATGAAATAAGTTTCTCTATAATTAAAATTATCTTATGCATAAACTAATCTGTAATTTATTTTTCATATAACTTCTCTAAATTTTGATTTTCAATTAACTGGTGCATAAATTAATTGAGAAACATATCTCTGTTTTTCTTTGTATCTTTTTCTCTCTCTTAGAAGTATTTAGGGAAAAGTTTGTCAAAAAACATCCGTAGTTTTCTTATCCCCGATGTCAAACAGAAGTTCTGTATGATGAAATACACATTTACAAAGTTCAAGAATGAACGGCAATCGGAAGAACTCAAAATATTTCAATAATTCCTTCAATCTTCCTTTTGAGTATTGTAATTTAGCAATGTGCATTGAAATTCGCAAAAGTATTTTCCCAACTGCATTAAGAAAGTAACCAAATTTAAAAACAAATGCAATTACCAAATTTCCGAATTGATTAGACCATATAAACTCGCAAGTAGAAACACAAGGCTGCATCTTTCAGATGCTAATTGTGAAAACTGGGAGGCTAAAGAGAACGAACCTGCACGTATTGAATTGATTTATGGCTTGCGAGTTGTTGGATTCTCTCGGTATAAGCGACAAAAACTCGGCCAATTTCCGTTGGAGGCAAATCACTGAGGTGAACCGGGTGAACCGGAGTTTCTATGACTACATCGTGGAACCCAAACCCTGTCTGGAGCGAACCGGAAGGGGCGTGTTGGGGTTCGGGGAGGGTGCGGGAGAGGGCGGGGTAGAGGTTCTGGATGACCCGGATTTTCCAATTCGGGTCTCGGGGCGGGACACGGAAGATCTCGGGCGCGCACTCGTGCTCGTGGCCGATGCAGAAGGGGCACTGTTGGTTCGTATTCGGGTCGGTAGGGGATTTGGACTTGAAGTCGGAGGGTCGTTTGGCTCGGGCGGGTGAGAATATGACCCAACGATTCCACACAGCGTCTTTTCTGAGTTCTGGGTTTGCGTTTTCCGAGGACGAGGCCATGTCTAACTGTGTTGTTGATTCTTAGGCATCGGAAGGTTTTGCTTTTCGTTGGTTTATTTACCATTTTGGTGTAATTTTACACCCTCATTACGAGGGCAAAATTTAAAAAAAAATACGAAGATGGGTTAAGTCGTGTTCTTACACCATCTTTTTCAATTTTCGGTTTTTAAAGTATTTGTCATATTTTTCAGTATTAGTCTTTTTGAACGAGGATGATGTCTATAGAAAATACTTCATCGTTTAAGCTAGTTTCAAAAGATAGTCATAACAAATACTTAAAAACATATAAAAATATTTTGATCATATTATTTATAATAATTTATTACGTTTGTTGATCTTACTTATATGAATTTAAGTGAAGATGTTAGAATATATTTGTATTATTCGAACTTTTTCTGATATTGATCATCTCAAACAAATATTAGGGATTTTTTTAACAATTTTATCATGGTAGAATCTTGTTTGTTAACCAAGGTAAAAAGTGAGAGATGGACGTTAACCTTCCTATGAACTATTGTATCTCTTTGACGTTTTTGGAGCTCCTGATATTGATAATCATCTGACATTTTTCAGGGTTTGCCTTTATTTCTCGGTGTGTTAATAGCAAACTCAAGAATATGCCACCATCCACCCTAAACACATACTTCTTTAGGTTAAGTCTTCAATGGCACATTCTAAAAACTGAGAACAGTGTGAAAAAGTCTTTGGAATGTTGAGCTGGGGTTGAGGACTTTACCACCGTTTTGTTCACATATACCTTAATGCTTTTGCCTAGCAGGTGTTTGAATACCTTGTCCATGAGCCTTTGATAGGTGGTTCCAACATTTTTTAGGCGAAAGGACATCATCTCGTAGTAATAGTTAGCCTCTTCCATGATAAATATCGTCTTCAACTTGTTGGCCTTTGTAATAGGGATCTGGTTATATCCTGAGTAAGCATCCAAGAAGCTCAAGATGTTATGACTAGTTGTTTCGTCTACCAACCGGTCAATGTTAGGTAAAGGATAGACATCTTTGGGGCATGCCTTATTAAGATCCTGTAGTTTACGCACATTCGCCACTTTCCGTTGGTCGTTTTACTAGTACAACGTTGGCCAGCCACATTATGTATCTTGCTTCTTTGATGAAGCCAACTTGTAACAGCCTTGTTGCCTCGACCTTGGTGGTCTGCCTTCTCTCCTCGCCTAGCTTTCTCTTCTTCTGTGAAATTGCCTTTGCTTCACTAAATATGGATAACATATGAGAGGCTATTTTTAAACCGACCCTGTAAAATAAGAAAGGCCTTATATCTCAAGTCAAGAGGGAGGTTGAATTGGATTCACCCTTTTTAATGATCTTTTCGAAATCTTTATGTGTTCTTGGCTTTCTTGAAATCAATAAACAAATAGTAATGAATCAACAAGTTTAGAAAAAGTAGAGAAAGATCAAACACGCAAACAATCTATACTAGTTCGGCTATCACAAGCCTACATCTAGTCTTCCTTCAACAACCTTAGTTGAAGGGAATCCACTATAATGATTGAGTATATAAGAATACAAAGACAACTCTCTCAATGCATGATAACGGTTGAAAATACTGTTATATGTGATGTAATTTTGATACTAAATACACCCTTTTCTGCTTAGAAACTTGCTTGTAATCATGTTTTTCTGTTAAGTTGTGTGAATAAGAGAGTTGAGGTTGAATTTGATGGTTTTATGACTAATTTCCCTTGTTTTGGCATGAAATGAGATAATATGGAAATTAGAGATGAAGTGCCAAGGAGATGGAGCTCAGAAAGGCCTGGAAAAGCACCAGAAGGGAGGAATGCTCGAAGCTTGGGCGCCCTTTTTGAGGCTTAAGCGTAGAAGAGTGCCGCTCACTGATAACAGTTGAAAAACTGTTATTTTCATGCTTAAAATTGATACTAAAAGCAACCTTTATACTTAGAAACTAGCTTGAAATCATGCTTTTATTGATATTTTCATAAATAAGAGAGCTGGACAGGTTTATGCTTGATTTCAGTGTTTTTGTGCAGGTTTTAAGGTGAATTTAGTGAAAGAAGTGAAGAAGGAGAGAGATGGAATCAGAAAAGACATCAAAAAGTGCAAAAGGAGAAGCCGAAGTCACCGCTCAGCGGCAGTTTACCGTTGAGCGGCACTCAGGAAGTCACGGGAGGTCCGCTGAGGGGCAAAATGGCC